CAGAGACAGTGAGAGTTCTCGCCGCCGGGAAAAAAATCATTATTACGACACACGGCGCAGTTTAATTCATTATTTACTCTGCATAACGAAGCTGTGCTGCACAACGTTTCGACACGAGTTCCAGCATAGCGTAGGGGGAAGGCTATACTGAGATCATCTACGACATGTATGAACACTCATGGATAGGGGGCGAACATTTCGTCGTGTGCGATAAACCATGTTCTACAACAAGGTCATGAAGGTAGAGACTCATGACATGACTTCTAAAATAGCATGACCTCGTAGTAAATGCATTTTTATTTTTTACAAGATGTATCTGTGCGAGCAATGAACGTTAACATTTCTATGATAGAAATCTTGAACATACCCGTGCACAAACTCGATACATGTCGACTAGCAGTTAATAATATTCGTGTGTTGCGTACCTGCCATGCATGTGTTTTACATATCATTAAGTTATAATTTATACCATTCACGTGCAATGTATTTCGCATTATTTCTATCAGGGCCTAAAAGGTATATGTATCGCATAAAACATGAGTGAATCTCTTAATGAAAACGATGACTAATTTTACACAATATTTTCTCCTGATTTGACCTTGAATCACATGAAAATATAGATAAAAAAGACAACAACAAATTTTTCGTTGATGGCCGGCATTAATGTTACTAGGGACGAATCAATTCATGCATGTTCTTCTACACACGGAAAGAACATAGATTGATTCAAACTTCCTGATCGCAACACTTGGAAACATGCTATAATCTTGCAATTTGTACCGTTTAAGATAAGGTTTGCTTAACTGATTTAATGCAGGAATAATTTACTAAATAATTAATTGAATTATCCAGAGCGTATAAGAACGACATGAAAAAATCACATATTCAAAATTGAAACCTATCCAAATATTTTATCACCGAATGCAGATACATATAAGAGACACATGCATGAGTACGGCCATTAGTTGTGAGATGTTATTAAAATGAGAAACTGATTTGCTAAGGAGCGAATCCGACGGCGTGAATTAGTGTGGCACAGAAAAGGCTTAAATTAAGCTCTCTCAAGAATGCTATAGGAATGAGCCAACAGGTAAAAATCCTCACCTAACAAGTCAGACAAAGATACCATGAAATTCAAGATTTACGTATTCATGGTGACGAGCAGCACTTCAAAAAAATTATGTCATGGAATGTAAGAGATTATTTTCTTTAGATTTAGATTTAATAGNATTCGAGTGAATAGTTGAAAATTGCGCTCACGAGACAAGACTTTGCTGGCAAGAGATATCGTGACGGAAACATGGCATCACTTTGTCAAGTGCTAGTTTACCCTAAAATCAGCCCACCATCACCGGGAAGGCATAGATAATCATAGCCTTAGTATTAATCTAGCTAATGTTTATTGCTTTCACGATCAAACCACTCGCTCATGTGTAAAAACAAACTCCAAAACAAAGGCGGCGTGAGTGTAAAATAGATCAAGATAATTATACAAGTCAATTTAAGACAAAATTTTTTTGAAGACAAAATTTACAAAAAAAATCTGAAAAAACGGTTAAAAGCACTGTTAGTATTCACGTATGATTCAGTATTGAGACACGAGTATGATCCAGTATCGAGACACGACCATGGATACGTGAGCGAAGATTGGGCTTAATGGCTCCCTTCCCACGCGGCGGCCACAGCCGTGAAGCCTTGTAATATTCAGGGCACCTGCATACGTTCTGCCCGCAACAAACAAGTTAAAAGCTTTATGTTTTGCAAGCCCCTTACTACTCATGCATGTAGCGATTTGTGAGACGGGCGCGAGTGAAAGAATGAGTAGCAAAAATTACTCATTTGATGATATCAGGGAGAGTCCGAACTTAATTAATGAAAGGGATTCTATTGGATCCTGAACGAACGCATGACAAAACTTTCGAACACGTAATTTTGCATAATTTTCGAAGACTTTTCTAAGATATTTATTATTCAATTTAAGAGAGGTACAACACTAGCAGGTTAGCCTGGCATCACCAGGGTCCGACATAATCCCTCCAATTTTCGAATCCCGATGTCACAAATCCCTTCATTCCCGTTGTCCATAATCCCATTCACAATCATACTTATGTATGCTAATTAAAAGTACTCCGTTCAATCTCATATTATGAACATCAGGCTCTCACATGTTATTCGTTTTAAATTATGCAATAAAAAAATGCTACTTGAAATTTAAGTCATGTACGTTTCAATTTTTGGTACAAAAATTTCCTACCAGTTTAGCAATGCCTGGCTATTCATTACCTAAGAATAAATTTTTTGGTCCAGGTAATTTCTCGATACGATATGAATTTTGGATACGCGCCCGCTTTGTGTTTGCGGCACGAGGCTTTAAACCCATACACGAATTTTGACAAATTTATATGATGTATCATAATAACATTTACTCTCAAGGTTTAGAAAAAAACCATGTTGTCACTACCGAAGACGTAAAATGGGACTAATATCCAGCGAATACGAAATAATGTCAACCATTTACAATTCCTTTGTTAAATTTATTTTCTTGATATGCCACCTTAAATAAACCCGGCACAAAATAAGATGCCTTGCAAGAGACACATCCAACGATCGTTCCACTGATCGACGGAAGCGTTGAAATACAATAAGAAGTCTGGCGCTTCAGATTTGGTCGGTGATATTGAAGTGATGGAGAGTCGTGCGCAGCAGCGACCTCTACAGGAGCCATTATCATACAATGATTGAGGCACGTCACGCTCGCCTTGCCAGCTGACATGTCGGGGGACNAAAGACAACTAAAATAAAATAAATAAATCAATAAGCTTCCCAGTGGAACAAAGGGCAGGAAATAATTCCTGTCTCTTATACACATCTAGATGTGTATAAGAGACAGACCTACAATCGTGTTGCCACCAGCACCCGTGGCGCCATTCATACGGAGAAACCTACAATCGTGTTGCCACCAGCACCCGTGGCGCCATTCATACGGAGAAACCCACAGTCGTGTTTCCACCAGCACCTGCGACGTCATTCATACGGAGAAACCTACAGTCGTGTTGTCACGGCAGGGCGGCGCAGTAAAAATTGTTCAATTCCATTTTCGATCCTTTCGTCATTTTTTAGATGTCATAGATAGCAACATTGAAGAGTGCTATAAAGCTGCCCGACTTTAAAGCTTAATGTAAATGGATTTCCTTTGAAGTAGATTGCTTTTCACAGCCATTGTTATGCAAAATAAGAGAATGTTTTATTCAGTGCAGTTTCCAACACTTCACAGTGATAGAGGGCGGGTTTAACCTGTGACCGGTAGTTTTCTTATCAAACTTTATTATTTAAGAGCTTTGTTTGACTTACGATTTTATTACCGTACAATCGTGAACGGTGTTGAATAAGAAATTCCTTCCTTAACAATTTTAACTTTCGCGTTGCAAGATCATGAGAAACTTCATGATAAAGACCTAAACACTGACTGAACGCTCATGGGCATCGGTTGCATAGGATACGACGGGGAAAGTATCAGAAATAAACTTGAGAAACGAGATCTTGGGCAGACCACTGATCCCACGAGACAAGTTGTGGTGCTGCTTTCCCGCGCGAGGTAGGTCATGTAGCCTGGATACAGGCCATGGGTGCAGGCGCTGTATTCGTGAGGTACTATGTCCTCTGTCTATTATTACATGCATACTTATCGAATATACTTTTTATCTACCGTCATCTGAAGAAAAGTTCCACTCCCTGATAATATAAACCAACGAATTCTCTGGTCATCAATCGCACGTGTGTAAACAAGTAAATCCTGTCATCTAATAATAACTTATAGAATATTACTTCTATTTCTAATAGAAATAGAAGTAGCAGTTAATACGCGTTTTATTAACTTGGGATTTAAACGTCATTTCAAGACTTTTTGTAGGTTTACTCTGGAATAAATAACAAATCCTATTTATAAGGAGCTCCAGCACTTTCTAGGCTTCGAGCTAAAATACAGACAGCATCATTAATATAATGACGCAAAGCTGCAGATGGCTTAATTACTCTATTTAAATTACCCAAATCAACCTAATATTACGATAGAGTAGAAGAGGCAAACTGAGATACTGCATTTCGTCTGAAGCCTTTGCTATTGGGAACTAATATCGATGATCCAATGTTCGGGCTATGAAGCAAAACCTGCAATTAAATCTGCCGAGCCACAGCGTGCAAACGTTAAACTGATCAAACGACAATGCACGCCGATATCTGCTCGAAAATAAATAAAACTGAAACCTACATAATACGCAAAGCCCTGTTAATCTGTACAAGTAAATAAATAACAATAACACTCTCTCCTGGAAGCTGGAGCAGCGTCTAGACACCATGTACTGAAAGCAATAGGAAGATCAATCACAGCAACAAGCACCAACAGCAGCACGGTGCCAGTTCTGGTTCACCTCTACTCATCCGTCAGAGATGATCAAAAACACAAGCTCAAAACCGCTCAGCCAAGCATACCACACTTTTGCAGGGTCTATTTTGCGAGTCCAAACTACGGAGTTATGAACAAGAGGATAGCAATCTGTAGTAGTTATCGCTGCTGTTATCGCTGCGGTCATCTCACACAGCTGGTATCTCCAGATCTAAGCGTCTGCTACTGATGCTGCAGGAAAATGCAAGTTTGAGCATCCCTGCATTATTAGTTCACATAACATCAACTAATTGCAAACAGAAACTCGTTCTGTGATCAATTGGAGAGTAATAGCATAGTTTGGTTAACTCTGCCTCGCATATAAGAAAGTAAAAAAGATAAATTCGTGACCACAAGTCATACGTTTCTTCAACAATCGTTAAATTTGGGCTTCATGAATACCGTACCATAGCTGTTGCATCATTTTTTTCGCTTACTACTACTGCCGAAATTTACGAATGACATTTTCTGTTCAGGAAATCTCGTTTAAATATCATTTGAACATTTAACTAAACTCACTTTCCGAATAAATCTCACACAAACACCATGAGGTACTCACTTTTCTCGTACTTGTCACGCAGCGCTCGTAGGGACTTCATGATTCGGGTGCGATGTGCACCGCAGGTCACGCCAAGCTTCTCGATGTCGCCCTCTTCGAAATACAGGAAGTCCTGTAAAAACAAGTTCAATGACCATCACACGAACAAGAGAATAACACGCAAAATAATGTTTCCTGAGAAATATTTTTATTGATTATGGATTTTATATAACATAAAACTAGAGAATTCAGCCGTTATCAAAATTAAGAATATTCGGGCTTGATAGCGCGGGCTTGCTCAATATTTTTACAAAGCCCTCATTACTGAGGGCTTTAAATGAGGTAATTGCATAGTCAAAATGTTTTCCTCCAGAAGGAGAGTACCTGTAATATAAATGAGAAACCGTTTAGCACACACGTAATAAAATAAATTTTAATCGATGTCTTTCACCCAAACGATGTCATCATGGTATTAATATAAAAATGCGTGTAAGCAAGCTTGCTTATTTAATCAGCCAAGCCTCAAGCGCATGTAAATATTTTGGTGGACACCAGAGAATCAAAAGAGTACAGCAAGATGGGAACCCTGAATGCCAGCGTAAGCTTGAGTGTCGGATTGCTTGAGTGTCGGATTATTTCCATAGGCAGTAAAGTTCCAGTGAAGGTGAGCCATATGTAGCACGGTCGTATAGAAAGTCTAACCATGTATTAAAATTTATGAACAAATTAACGGGAAGTCAAGAATCTCTGAAGTAAATGCATCAAGAGAAGCGGAACTAATTAAAACGACACAGCAGCTTAAAACGGCGCCAACGACGGTAGACTGCAAGGCGCTTCTTAATGCATGCAAAGAGCAGAAGCACTTAAATAAATTGAATTTGAATAGATTCTCGCACCAAAGCGCAAGATGTTTTGAAATGAGAAAAGTCATAGGGCTGTCGAACGAGGTGCTTAATGAAATTTACAAGGTAAAAAAAATCTTGAGAGATCTGAAGGAGGCGCCCAAATGTTGCACTGATAAAATCAGCGAGGCACGGTCTCGAAATAAAAATTTTTTACAATGGAAGTTATAAGAGTGGAAAATCGGGTCCGAAAAAAGGAAAGACGAATGCCTGGCGATGACTAAATCAAAAGGAATATGAATAAACAAAATTAGAATTCAGATCGATTAAACTAAAATTAAAAGAAACTATAGTTACGACGACTAACTAACCAAATAGAAAGAGAGATGAGAACCATATCACTGTATTCTCAGGGCTTAAAGAGATACACATGCAGGTGAGACGGTTCAGATGCACTTTCCCTGCCAAAATATTTTTTTTCTCAGCTCACCAAGCGGCTAGCGATCTAATCGGTGCGGCTATAAAGCTGCCCGACTTGAGTGCTTCAAGAGCCATTAATGCTACGCTGAACAGCGATCTCAATCTAGATCCATCATCCAGTGAAAACAAGAGCTTTTTCTTTACCAACGAGTTACATGAATAAGGTTGGCAAGATGATTTATGATAGGTCGAATTGTCCTGCCTTGTTTGGATGTAATCGGAGAATTATTACAGGAAATTTTTATCTAATAAGCATCGTGATGAGAAATGACAGCAAGTGGGCGGCAGATCGCAAGTTCTGGATGCAGAGGCCGATAAGGATCGAAGGTTACGGAGGTGAAGGATCGTTCGATCAACAATCCTGGACGTTGGGACTTTTTAATCAATTTGTGCAAAGCTTGTGTCAGCAAGGACTCAAAGATACGATTGGTAATTATAATAGAGCTACAAATTCTTTTGAATGGAATAAAATAAGCAAAAATGTTTTTTTTTTTGCAGTTTTAGTGATTCAATTATCGATTTTACATGGGGTATAATCATAAATAATTTAATGAGTAAACCGTATCAATGAATTTAGCTGTGACAGAATTGAAACAAAAGGTTTTTTATTTTTTCTATTCATTAAAAATTTGAATGGCAAGCATACTCAAAATTCTAATCATATTAATCACAATCAACAGGCTTAGCGATCGTATAATCACACCTCAACGTTCATTTCACCCGCAACAACTCTATAATAATTAATTAAACTATTTAATGAGTATAAATTGAACTCTTAAGCTCCAACGAACCAAATTAGAGGGGTCGAAGCTTGGTAATATCTTTCATGCATATTGCAACAAATTAATATAAGTAAACCTCATTAGTTAACTATCCAATTACCAGCTAGCCAATCAAGACCTCCACGCAGGGCCTCTAAATAAATAACTTATCATTGTCGAGACTCATCGATCGGTGAAGAGATTGTGCATCAACACTCTTGTTAATATTATATAATTTATCCCTATGAAAAACAAATAATGTTTACGGTGTTGATTTTTCTAGCTTTAGAAAGACGCATTGAATGTTCGTAGAATCGAAGTAGCAATAATATTTAACAAATCATAAAATCCATCATTTAAAACTATTACAAATCACTGGCGTCAGTTCGCCGAGGTGCCACAATGTTAATTTAAATATTCATACTTGATTCGTTGATAGAGATCAATCTTATAGTCAATGCCAGGTCGAAGAACGTTTAGTTCAGCCATCAACTTGCATTGGATGAGATAACGCGCATCAAATAACATTTACGGCTCACTAGAGAGCATATAATATGGCTACTGTTTGCTCGTTGATTGCACGAATATTCAGTTTGAGTCTTGTAAAAAAACAGGGTGGAGTTATTCACTTATATAAATGTATTTAAAGAGATTGTTATTGACGCAAAGACGACATTTTAAAAGGATTAAGATGAAATTGCAGATAAAATGCTTTACATTATAGGTATTATCGATCATTTCAGAACATATGTTGATACTCATCCGTGTTAAGCATAAAAGTTAACCATATATAAGATCACAGAATGGTTATTTCCAGTTCATTTTCAGCCTAATCGAATAAATTTGAATGAATTTCCACATAGAAACACAAATCAGAAGACAAATTTGAATTCTGGAATTGTCATCGTTATATACATGTACATTACGGTATGCATTTTGAAAGGCAGGACTTCTTTGTTCAATATCTTGACTAAATCAATATCTGGACTAAATTGAACTAAAGAAATAATCATTTGTCAGTGCTACGTGACGGTTATAAAAAAAAAAGAGTTTGAATCAATCGAAAACCAATTGAAATTTCAATATTGAGAACCAATTCGATTGGAAAATAGTTTTACGAATTTATATTATTTTCACATAGTTGATATACATAACACGCATAAATTTGTAAACTTAATCAACAATTTCTATCGACAGTAGAAAGGTATAAAAGTCAAGCACAGACAGCTTCAGCATTGCACTGAGCAGGCAATTGGCACTTCTGCCGCAACGGCTGCTGGTGCTGGTCTATCTAACACAACTCGAGTTCAGTCGATAGCAGCTGAGTGTTTAGGCAGAGGCAATAATCACTGATATGATAGGTGGCGATATGGGAGCTTATTGTGCTATATAACGGCAACGGTGGAGATGCAGAAAGCTTGTAAGGATGCAAAAATAAAATGCGGTACTGGAAAACAAATTCAAAAATATCTAAAGTTTCGAGATTAACAGACAAACAAAAGATTCTGAAGCGTAAAAAATAAAGTAAAGTTGCATCGTTTGAATAAACGGTGGTATAAATAAAATGAATAAAGACACTATTGAGAATTAGATTCCATGAACTTGGCATCAAACCTTCGATAAAAATTTACAAGATCTACCTATACGAAAAGAAGATTTAAATTAAGGTACCAGAAAAGTGTCAAACAGAAAGCTCTAAAATACAACACTATAACGCATTAGTATTGTACCGTTCAATAGTACACAGAATTTGACAGAAATATATAGAAACGAGCTGTGCTATTCTGTACCAGCTCGCGACAGATATATGGTGAATATGAAGTCCTGATACGCAGCAATTGATGTCCCACAGCAATAAAAAGACAACTAAAATAAAATAAATAAATCAATAAGCTTCCCAGTGGAACAAAGGGCAGGAAATAATTCTCATGTGATACTTCAAGCAATGAAGCTTTCCTACGACGCTCGTAGCTGGAAAGGTAGCCAGTAATTTAAAATCATTTGCGATAAATGACCTGCATGAAAAATAGGAATGACGAACTTTTATATTAAAACGGCAGTACAATTGAATGATAACTAAAAAAAATGAATGCAGACAATATGTCGCATCCAAACATCTGAATGACATGCCCAGGAGACAGCAACATCCGCAAGCGATGCGAATAATGATCCACAATACGTTTCTTCAAAGCCTCAATTCAAACTAACATAAAAATCTTCAAATTTAACTAGAAATCTTTCAGTGTCTTACTAAAACTATAATGATTTTTAAGAGGAAAATCAATGAGAAAGCTTTCGTGAATCATCAAATGATTGTGGATAAACCAAGTTACGTACCTATTGTAGTACTCAACATATGATAGATATTGAAAAAATTGGTTTCAATAGTCTTCCAAGTACTAAAATATGAATGACAATCAATGCAGGAGTTGTTGGATTGAACAGAACAATTAAATGATTGTTGGATGTCATAAAACAGATGTCGATTCAGGTTAAAATTGTAGTAGCAGCAGTCCTGCAGTTTATTGCAACATGAAAGAAAACAAAAGGATGAAGATAAAAGTTCAAGTTAAAGAAGTGCAAAAACATCAATAATTATTCAGTTACTTACCTCGACGCCGGTGTAGTGACTAAAGTAAGGGCCGTACTGCGGCAGTTCTAAGGCGGCCAGCCATGACGCGGCGTCCAGATGTGGGCGCGGGATCCACGACATGCGGCGCAGCGACGCTCGCTTGCTGCGCCGTAGCGATGAGATCGACCAACCTAATTAACAAAAAATAAAACGTCAAATACAGTATTAATGACTTTTATTACATGGACAGAACATCAATGAAGTTTAATGAGGAGCTTATTAATGGGTCCTCGTCAATTCCACATTTATAAATACGCCTATATGGATTTTACGTTTCGATAGACGATCACGATCTCACATATTTCATATCAGATGCTGTGCTCGCACTATTACTTTAACGAAAATAAATTTTCTTCTTTCTTTACTTCCATAAAGTAAATCAATTTGATAACAGCCAAGTGATGGATGGACACGTTTATGATATGCTCATGTGCATGGGTGCACCGAAATTTAATTTGCAATATATACCGACTCTGTCCTTCGGGTACGTACACTTGTTGGTTAACATAGCACGACGTAATTGATAGGTGATCGATAGCGTGATTACCAAGTGTCACCCGTTCTGATGACTGGCTTATCTTATCAGGAACTCTTTGACGTGTTGTTTTCCATTCATTTATAAAAATCTTTGGGTTTTCGAAATGTATAACAAATGAAATTTACCCATAATTTAAAAGCGGAAAAATAACCAATTATTTATAAGAGAAAATGTTTCGGAGTACAGCTCTTTCATCTGTTCAAAATCCCACAACATATGCACAAACAAATAGCAAACTAAAATACACATTGAAGATATTAAAATATATTTGGACAAATGAGATCAAATAAAATGAAGCGGTGACATTTTACTTCATGCTCCACTCAGCACTTCGTCATCCCTAACGCAACATCAGTCGATAACATGACACATAAAACACTTCCAACAGTACACACTGTTAGAATAATTATCGTTAACGGTATTACTGGCGTTTCACTGGCCGGTTGGCACGTGAAAAGAAACACCGTGTCGTCGTTTTTATTCTAATTTAACACTAAAAATCCGTAAAACATCTGATAAAAACGGCGAAACAGTTTATTTTCACTGGGCGTCCGGCCACTAAAACGCCAGTGGGACCGCTTTTTCACCGTTTTTTCAACAGTGCAGCACCGGTACGGTACCATATGCAACACTGCTCCTTGTGAAGCACACGGCAATGCAACAGTGCTCCATCCATGCAACACGGTAATTCATGTGAAACTCGCATCGCCAGTTCGGAAAGGCATTTACCTGCCTGGTAATTAAGTCTGCCCGCTTAACAATATCCTGGTCAGCAGGCGAACATAAACATAGATTGCTGCAACTATTTGGGCAGAAAAGAGCGCGGCAGATGCGGCCATTCAGTGCCTTTATTATGCATCTCGCTCAGAAGTTACGACATTTAAAGAAGGCTTTGAGTAGCTTTAAAAACACGACTTTTTGAATAACATGGCAATTTTAGCGCAGTAAAAGTGACCACTCGTTCGTATTTTTTTCAATGTGAGTTGGGTACAACTGCTCATTTATAACTTGAAGTAAATACAACGAAAACTACATTGAAAGAATGCGGTATGAAGAAATATTAATTTGTGATAACTTATTCACGACTATTACCAGCAATGAGAGGAAACATATAAAAAATTCTCGAGATTAAAAAAAATTCTCGAGATTAAAAAATTCTCGAGAATTTTGTTAATGTACGGATATTAAATATTATGGCTACGCACAAATGATTCGAATTATACGTGCACTGATGCCATAGTGATGAAAAAAATAGAAAGGAAAATTAACCTGAATTCAGACATTTTAAAGTATATTGTAATCTGATGAATACCGTTTCGCGATCTGATTGAGGTCAATGTTTAAATATCTGTATATATTCTCAAATGGGGCATAAGAACACGACATGAATAATGATGAAAGGAAAAGTAACAAGTTGGTTGACATGAAACCATGGGAGCAGCAACAGCATCATTCCCAACGAGCTCTCAGCAATCCGGCCTTTACTTGTGACGTCATCATGATGTCAGGCGATGATCAAAGACGTTTGCCTGTAGTCTTTGAGATCACAAGAAAAAACATAGATTGTGTCGACTTATTTGAACTGTTATACAATATCGTAGAAGCAGGGAAGGAAATTTACATTCGATACACGGACACGCATTTAAAGACCATTGAAAATTCAAACAAATAAAATCGTTGATTTGGTTATTTAATACGTTGGTCCACAGAACCCTGAGATTTCGATGTGATAACAGACAAAAAAAGCGTATTAAATCCAGAAATAATTGCACCAACAAGCTACTGCCAAGACGCTTGAAATTTAAGAAGTTATTTTGCGATATTTCAATACTGGTCGATTAAATCTGAAAATAAATTGATTTACTTTATAAATTGACCATCAATATCCCTTGAAACTCGCGAATCACAACAAATTCTTAAGTTTGAGCGTCTCTCTATCTGGTGAATGAACTCTCTGCAAGCAGCACGCATGCAGGGCGCGTGTCTCATGCAAACGCATAGCATAAAAAAAAACTTCGCATTCCAAGCATCGAAGAGCCTGTTGCATGCAAACTTGCCAGCAATGCAACGCGGCAAAAAAACGTTCATTGAACGGCTGCCATTGCGGTGATCTTGCATAACTAAATGAAAAACTAGTAGCTAATTATGCTTTTAAAAATGATATTTGGCATCAACTAGATCGTTTGAAACAATGAAAATATAACATAAACGAGGTGGGATGTAGGTTTATGCAAACTGAACAAATATAAATATAAAAGGGTAATTAATCGAGAAGATTTATAGAGAAATTTTTCGAATTACTTTTTAGCAGCCCATTGCAAGTGCGGAAAAATTAATAGTCGATTTTGGCGAAAAATTGTCGAATATTGTTAGTTGGTTTAAATGTATATGTATATAAATTCTTTCGAAGTTCGAACGTTACTAATAAATTCCACCTTTCGCTCCATCATGTTTGTTGATGAAATTATTGAGATAAATAATTTCTTCGAAGTCATTGCGCTTCAATTTATCATAATTTCAAGTCAAGCTTCCGTTTTATTGACATCAAACTGACGCCCAAAGACGAGTTCTACTGCATGCGTCTTACAACAGCAATGGCAAGACGCACAAAAATAACAATGAATCTTTTATTGCACATAACACTGCCAACAAGCATTGCTTCTGCTGCACATGATCATGAGTTTAATACTCCTTTTTCCCGGCATGGAACAATCTTCATCATCTAACGTATTCGTCATCAAATTATCGCCCACAATTTCAACATCAACGCAGCACCGCAAATGGCTGCTTCACAAATGACGTGAATTTAATTATTAACAGCATTTAATGGAAGCTTCGGCAGCGTTCATAAGCCAAGTCACGCCATTTCAAATCATGATCATAATTTTACGAAAGTTCATAAATTTTTTTGAAATTAACTTCGAAGTAGTCACAATGAAACATAAATCCAAAATAAAATAGTTGATGATTGACTATACGAACAGAAATGATTCTGTGATGATTCGATTTTTGTGCAATTGTCACAAACTTCCAGAATCAGTCGTAGAAATAGCGCTTGGAAGAGAAAGGAACTGTGGCGACATCAGCTAGAGTATGCCAGGCATTGATTGTCCTGAGTCATGTAAGAAGTATTTTAAAGCTCATCAAACGAAATGAGGTTATTATGAACGAAGCACATAAACCGGTATTTAATACATAAATTTATTATCAAGGCTCGATGTGTCTTACACGACGGCATCGAGAAGTGTATAAAAGTCATCAGTATCGGTCTTAATTAAGAAAGCCTCCGGCTCAGCGGAAGGAGACAGATCGAGACAAATTATATCCTCTAGGGAGATTAATTGGGCTAGGCTGAGATTTATTTCTCAGATGTGTGGGCAGCTATAAAGGAAAATACACGACTTAAATGAAGATTAATTTTATCCCTTATACAAATGGAGAAGTACTAAAAAACGCCCAGTTTGTCTCACAAATGAAGAATAATATCACCACTGGTAGCAGCAAATATATAAAAATATAAATACAAGCTGCTGTTCCTACACTTAGAACGTAATTATTTTAACGATAACCATTTAACATTGTTTTTACTCGTGAAAGCTAACAAACTAACCATCTTAAAACATAAGAAATCCATCTATATGAGAAAATTGAGAGATTAATCCAATTGGGAAAAGTAAGAGGGGGAAAAGCAAAAGATTATTTGGGAAAAGCAAGAGATTAATCCATTTGGGAAAAGCAAGAGATTAATCATTTGGGAAAAGCAAGAGATTAATCCATTTGGGAAAAGCAAGAGATTAATTCATTTTGGGAAAAGTAAGAGGGGGAAAAGCAAGAGATTATTTGGAAAAAGCAAGAGATTAATTTATTTTGGGAAAATTAAGAGGGGGAAAAGCAAGAGATTATTTGGGAAAAGCAAGAGATTAATTTATTTGCGTGTGACGTACCGGAGGCAGGCGACGCATGACACTGACACGCGTACGTGACATCCGCCGTCCGTAGTCGCTGCGCTCCACAGCATCACTGCGCACAACCTTCTAATCGTGACGAGTTAAGTCTACATTTCCAGATTTTTAAAGAATTTGTCTGCTGGTTTCATATTATTAATATGATGCAAGGTTGTCTTCACTCAAACCTGGGTATATCCTCACTGAAATATGCGCCTCATTTTGCTTTGGTCTTCAGCGACCAAGTCTCAATAATACGTAAATGGCAGTTCGCATTCACTATAAGCAAAAAATTAATATTCACAGAACAGGGTACAATGGCACATGAGTAAGCAATTATTGTAATGAGCTATTATAATGAGCTAAAGGGAAAAACCATAAATACGACGCTACTACTGAACATATACTATTTGCCTAGCCGGCATTTGTATGTAAGGAAGTTTATACCTTCCGTTGGCCTGAATAAATCAATCATCAAATATTTCATATTACTCCTTCCATTAAAACATTGATATTCGGCGTCGTAAATACATTCCTTGTTGAGGGGAATTGAACTCAGTCTATGTCGAGGTCAATTCCTGTGATATTTTGCATAGACCTCCGAATTGTTTTTAATTTTTAAGTTTGTAACAAATTTTTGTTCACCCAA